TTGGCCTTCATCGTGCATCGTGTAGTATACGTGGGGTAACGAGAAGCGATTAACACCTCGAGCAGCTCCCGATCATCAATCGCTCGTGAGCCGCTCACACTGCTCACGCGCAAACACGTAAACGTCGGTGAAAAAGACGGTGCAGCTCGGCTGTGCAGCGTGTGATCTGGACACAAGCGATGGAGGCACAACTTGTAGAACTTTGGAAAGCTCATCCGAGCCTTTTCGATGTGGCCTCACAAAATGATCACGACCACAACAACCGTGAAAATAGTTGGATTTACACTGCTGCTTAATCACAGCTGCCTGATCAATGTTTTTCATTAGCAATTTAGCAAAGTTGATGGTGGTGTGCGTGTCTGTGTGAGTGAAAGACAGAGAGAGAGCGAGCGACAGATTTTCTGTTATAACCTTCATTTTATGGAGGCACAGTGTGAGCACTCAGGTCGCATCAGAGCATCGGGTGGTATAGTGTGAGACCCTGCATCGTGACCTACCAACTTCTAACCCCTGCGAGTCAATCGTGCAGTTTGAGCAGGAGCTGAATAACGTGACTGAAAAAATCGCACAGTGTCTGCCCAGCTTTAGGTGTACTGTCGTCCGAGACTTGCACCGCAGTGTCGGCGTTTGTTTCCCTGTTGGCCATGCTTCTTGTTGTGGTCATCTGTTGTCTTCCGGTATTTTCTCCGTAAGCGACCTTTCCTCGACCAATGAGATGAGCGGTAATCTGAATTGTCACACTCGAATTGTCATAAGTGTGCTGTCAGCTCATTGGTCACAAAGCAGGAGAGGGGCTGGGAATTATGTTTTCAAACAAAGTGTTAATTCCATTAAAAGTTATAGACTACTTTTGATTCTCACTGGATTACGGGACAAAGTGCGTCCCTTATTAGCTCAATACGGGACGTGTACTTTTGTTTCTAAATACGGGACGATTCCGTTTTTTAAGGGACGGTTGGCAACCCTACATATATGGCATCACTCTTGGCTGGAAGCAGTGCTTAAACAATGGAAAAAACACAAACTTTGTCCAAAAACCTCTCATGTTTAACTGTTTCCCACTTTAATAGAGAAAACAAAGCACCATCACAATAAACTAGCTAGTCATAGATATCAATATTTACTAAATAATAAACGATATTGTGCAGCACGCAAGATAGACAGCGCACAGTGTGCTTTGAGGCAGCAGCCAAGAAAGCTTTAGTCCGTGTCTGTGAATACCCATGTGTGCATACCTGTGTGGATCAGCATGCTTGCATTCCAAAGGTTTCTCCATGTAATGATCTGCTAGGGAGTGTGGGGGGGCCACAGCCCCGTCCTCCAGGGTGTGAAGCGGGTATGGAGGAGATCAAAACTCCAGACATCCAGAGGCCCCCAGAACACAAGAGACCATGGAAGACCAACAGAGGGGCAGCCGCGCCACTGTCCCAGTAAGAGCTGAGGAGAGTCCCAGATGAGGGCTCGCCCAGCAGCCGCGGAGCAGAAGTCAGGGGGAGTTGCAGTGACGCGCCCGTGAGCTCCGCCGGCCCCCAGCTGCGCCTGAGTGACCGAGCCCTAGGCCGAGAGGCCGGGGGCACCCCACCTCCAAAGGGGCCCGAGCGAGCCCCAGGCCCCAGGCCCCGACAAGCGGCCGCCAAGGAGTGAGCCGGTGTGTACCCGGACGTGATGGTGCTTTGTTTTCTCTATTATTATGTTGCTCTTTGTTGTTTGCTGTCTCCTCTGTTTGTTTTTTTTGTTTGTTTGTTTTTTTTTTTCCTTTCTCCATACAGGTGACCCAGGAGTTCTTTTTTTTTTTTCCTCTCTCTTCCCCCCCTTCTCACCGTCTCTTCTCCTCTTTGGTTTTCTTTCTTTCTCTCCCCCTCTCTCTCTCATTCATTCCCCCTGTCCTATTTATTAAAAAAAAAAAAAAAAAAAAAAAAAAAATGACAAAGGATGAACTGAAGCTCTGCCATCACGTAATGTCGCATACTGCTGTTTCTGATGTCATTTAAAAAAAAAAAAAAAAAAAAAAAAAAAAAAAAAAAAACTGTTTCCCACTTTTTCTTTGGTCATTTTAGCCTTTTTGGCCAGGGTGAAGGGAGTATCTGCCATCAAACAAGAAGACAGCCGCATGTAGCTATGATGATGTTTGCTAGTTCACCTTACATGCATTAATGTAATAACGTGGTTAGCCTACTCAATGTAAATCACACACGAACAACATTAAGCTACTCACGCAGAGAAGAACGGCTGCTGCTGCATCATCATCCTCATCATTTCTGCTACACTGGCAGGGCTAGGGGCCAGGACTCTATTCTTCGGGTTTTTGGGGGATGTTGCTCCGGTCCGATAACTGGCAACCCACCCAACGTGCACGGTGTGAGGTCTCGCAGCAAGCTATCAAATACAGCGCATTTCTCGGCTTTTAAAAAAAAACGCGATGTGTCGCCAGCTGTTTAATCGGATTCTTGGTGTTACCTCCTTTGACAGTATCACAGTATCAGCTTAAAGCACTTGTTGCAGGCTGCTGAGTTTGCATATTTTGCTGTGAAGTACAGCCAGACTTCTGACCGCTTCGCCTTGGACATTTTTAATCTGTAGCTCTGCTCTAACAGAACGTACGTACCTGGCCCCGCCTACTATCCTCGGAAACGTAAAATGATTGGCTAGAAGTGTATCACAGCTCAGGGAAAAAAAGCACCGAAATAAAGCACCGAAATGTGCGCTGCTTTTCGGTCTGGTTACTACCGTTTATGTCAGAACCGGTGCCATCATGGCACCGGACACCGGTACCCATCCCTATTCACGACTCAGCAAATCAACGGTTGGTTTTCCCAATTTAGCCACGAACACGTTCACACAAAGGGGGGTCGCTGCTGGCAGGATATAACCAATCACGAACAGGGACAGGATCAGAGAACTTTCAGAAAATTAGAATTGCAGGCCCGCAGATTAAAAGCACTAGTTGCTGCAAAAAAAAACAAAAAAAAACAACAAAACTATTTCGACATAGTCACATAAGAAATAAATCAGAGTACACCCCGATCATGCACATTCCCAGCGATTTTAAATACCATTAAGGAGCTTCTCGAAGCCGCTGTCCTGGCAATAAAGCACTAGTAAGTGTAATTACAGGAACAACTCCATTATTTATATTTATTCTTGCAATTTTTCCTTATGCAATGGATGTTTAGTTTCAATATTCCAACAAAGAAATTCTTCAAACTGCGGCCTTTCTGTTGTAAACAACAGGTTGTCTACAAGACTTCAGTGCGCTTTTAGGGTCATGCTCGTGCAAACATCAAAGGGATAACACGGTCTCTCAAGACCTCTTACCCCCCACACAACCAAATCCGCAGGATGCTCCACACGTGCCGACGCCATCTTCCGTGTAGTGATGGGTCGTTCGCGAACGAAATGGCTCTTAGAGCCGGTTCTTTGACGTGAACGACGCGAGCCGGCTCCTTATCGCGAGCCGTCACGTGGGTTTTTTTTTTTTTTCTCTCTCAGCCTCTCTCTCGCACTTTTTTTCCGCTTCACTCTGCACGCGAGCCTTGTGCTTTACGCTGGGCAGAGGGGGGAGGGGCGGTAGTTACACTCAGTAGCACAGGAACAGAGCCAGAGAGAGAGAAAGAGAGCAGGACAACAACATTAGAAAGGTATAGTAATCATCCACAACTATTTTCGGTTGCAGATGATAAAGGATTGAGAAAGTTTATTCATGCAGGTCCATATGACAGAGAATATGCATGTTCTTTTAGTTTTCATATTATAATTTATATTTAATTGTGTTGTGGTTTGCAGTGTTTTGTGTTCTTTTCACTTTAAATTTGTGAAAGGAAAAAGCTGAAATTTAAATAGTTAAAACTTGAAATGTGAATAGTTGATTTTTGTATTATATGATTTATTTATTAAATTTTATGTGGAGTGAATAAATAAAAGTATATTTACGGTGGCCCCTAGAGACAAAGCACATACAAACTTCAAATCACGTACGAACTCTGAAGCATGTACAAACTCCAAAACACGTAAAAACACGTACAAACTCCGAAGCACGTAAAACTCAGAAGCATATAAAAACTCAGAAGCACATAAAAACTCAAAACACGTACAAAAGACAACAGAAGTGCTCCAGGATGCTGGGCACAGTGTTGAGCCTTTGTTATCTTGTGGCTACACAAGCCAGCAAGTACCAACGACCGGATTTGGTGTGTGGTAATAACAGGTAAATGAACTTTTTTTTAAATTATTTGAATATATATATGAGTGCCTGTGTATAAATACACAAACAATACACACATGCTTTCAATTGTGTGATTTAAGTGATCTAGTAGCTCTGCTTTGGAAGTTCAGTTCATGCTAGAAATGTGTTTTGGAGTTTATACGTGTTTTGTCTCTAGGGGCCACCGCATATATTTATATATAAACATATATAAATAAAACCACTTGTTTTTACGTTAGTAATTCCTTTTGTGCATAATTTTATATTATTGTTAATAATAAATTAATTAAAGCAACAAAACAACCTGAAGAGCCGGTTCGGAGCCGAAAGAGCCGGCTCTTTTTAGTGAGCCGAACCGAAAGAGCCGGAACTCTAAAAAGAGCCGGAAATCCCATCACTACTTCCGTGAGAGGTGATTGGTCTGTAGGCGGCGCTTTTATACTAATCGATCGATCTGCAGAGGAGGTTTGGTAATAAGGCTACCTTATCTGTGAGCTACATGGTCTTTAAAGCTATGTAGTCTTTTGCAACAGACAAGTGACTTTGGGAGGGATGTATCATCAGCTTGTTATATTTGCCAGTTTTGTTGATATTAGGCAGGAGAATCGTCAGATTTTTAAAACATAGTAACTAGTAAGGAAAAAGGATTATTCTAAGTTTGGATTGACTGATCAGGATAGAATAATCCCTGAGGACTGCTCATGGATGGATGCCATCAAATGAAACATAGATGTGAGACGACAAGTGCGGCTTACCATGACTCAAGTCCAGCCATAAAGAAAAGAAATAACTTCTTTATTATTAACATGGTATCTGAAGGGTCAGTACATTGCTGTTTGTGTAATGAAAATACAACTGCAAGTCCAAAACAAGGTCTGTAAAAAGTCTGTAAATAACCGCGTATATATGCACAATTCTACATGAAAAAAAATTGTGCCCTTTTGTCGTTTTAATTTTGTGGGATTCAAACAGTGTCAGGAAAGCGTTTCTCATTCATTGTATAAAATGTAGACCCGCAAATACATGACAGTAAAAAATGCTGTTACTACATTTGTCCAGCAGATGGCAACCTTCGCTTAGCAACAAAAAAAGTAATAACCACAGAGTGCCACTTGCAACTCTTCACTATCCTGTATGGCACTATACTTTGCATGTTTTATAAAACCCTGAGAATAATAATTTAAAAAATACAAATATATGCTAAAATATACAAAAGTCATTCACTTCTAGAAATAAAAGTTATCCAAGATGCTTTTCTTTCCATCACTAGTGCCCAAGCCAAGTCTTCCTCACCAGCTTGACTGTGTTAAGTGAATACTGTTTCTGTCCATGTATTGCAAATATTTCCATCCACCAGACAGATTTCAGGTATCACTCAGATAGAACAACAAACTGACACAAAGGCAAGCTGCTGGATGTCTGCAGGCTGACAACATGATAACAAGTTGACAGTTATCTGAGCAGTCTATTTTGAGCAGACAGGCACACCTGCAGGTTATTGCTCTAGGTATTTCAGCAATAGAAATCCAGCCCATGCTTGTGCTGCTGCTGCTGGGAGGATGTAGTGATCTCATCTGGAGCATGAGCAGGCCAACTGTGGAGGTCCCCAGTGAGTTTGGAATCCAAAAGAGTCTCCCTCATCTGTTGGTTCTCCCTTGTTGCTGCCTCCCACACCACCTCCAGCTCTTCCTCTATCTCCCTGCAGGTGCGAAGAGAGGAGACAAGAAAATGAGTCAGACGATCCATTTGTCCATCATTCTACATATTTGATAAGTTACAGTATTGTGAAATAGCAATAAAGTTACACAATACCAACTGGACCTGTGTAAACTGAATTTACACCCCTTGGCAGCTAAAGTGGGCACACAGGTCTGATCACTCCCACCCCTGCTCAATCAAATCATCACCATTTTTAGAAACATGGATTTGGTTTACATTTGTCAGGAGCAGGAGGAATCTGAATTTTGTCAGAACACACCTAGATGATCTTCAGATTTTCATAGTTGAACTGTTTGGATGACAATGGTCAGGATTTTCTATGAGTCGTGTTGTGGCGAGTGCCGTACTTTATGCTGTTTCATGCTGGGGCAGCAGGTTGAGGATCGCAGATGCCAACAGACTCAATAAACCGATCAGTTACTGGCCAGTAACACTGTGGGGGTGGAGCTGGCGTCAGAGAAGCGGATGTTGTCCTTGATAAGGACAATGCTGGACAATACCTCCAACCCACTCCATGACGTACTGGCCAGTCACAGGAGCACAGTCAGTGAGAGACTGAGATTAGTCAAATGCACCACTGAATGACACAGGAAATCATTCCTGCCTGAGGTCATCTCTCTGTACAGTTCCTCTATCTAAAGCCCAAGTACACACTGCAATCGTTGCACACCATTAATATCGCATCCTCTACAGCAATAATAAAAAGTCAAAATGATAAGAGGGGCACCTCAGTGTCAACTGTATACATTTAATTTTAGTATAATAGCATATAATAGTATAGTAGTGTAATATACTGGGAGATTTGTAATTAGAGCTTTTTTGCTATATTTTGTATTATTTTATTTAACTTAGTTAGGTACTGTTCTTAGTGTCATGGAGCGACTGTGACAACATAATGTCCTCCGGGATTAATAAAATATTCTGATTTTGAGTGTTGGGCTGCTTTGCTCCTTTTGCTATGACTTTCCGTAACTTTAAGGCACGAAAAGAAAAAGCACGCTCTCCAATTGTCTTTTTTCTGTCTCTAGGAACCTTTAGAAGGCCAGAGTGCTGAGATCGTAGAGCACGGGATGGAACGCAAAGGTGTAAAAGGTCGGAGAGGTATGAAGGTGCCAATCCATTTGAAGCCTTGTAGGTGAGCAGCAGGACCTTAAAATCTGCTCGAACCTGACAAGGTAGCCAATGAAGAGATCTCAGTACAGGGGTAATGTATTTCCCGGTTCTTGTTATAATGCGAGCAGCTGCATTTTGCACCATCTGTAGACCTCTAAAATTTTCTTTGGTAGCCCAGAAAGAAGAGCATTCATGGACAAGAACCTCTGCAGTGTCGCTTGACAAAACCTGTCTGATTTTGGCTATGTTCCTCAAATCATAAAAGGTGGTCTTTGTTATCTCTTTTACATGAGACTTGAAGGAGAGCACCACGTCAAACCACACGCCCAAGTTTTTTACCTTGTCCCTGCAATTTATGACATTGTCTCAATTTTCAAGATGAAATTTTGCAACAAGTGCTGAAATTTTTGTGGTCATTGAAGGCCATTGATGGTCACTCTTTTTTCTTCATGTTAAAACTCTGGTAGCGACATTTTGAATGACATGCATTCTGTGTATGCTAAAGCCTGAATAAAGTCCACTATGGTAATCAAGTCTGAAACAAATAAGAGGATGGATGACCTATTCTAAATCGGACTGTGACAGGAATGGCTGAATTTTTTACATGTGTCTAAGAAGAATTAAACAGAAATGCATGATATTAGATGCCTGTATATTAAACAAGAGCTCAGAGTCTTTTCGGTTTTGAGCCTCTTTGCAAACACAAAGCTCAGACTAGAAGAGAGTTCAATACTATTTCTGTTGGAGGAAGGTGTAATTATGATTATTTCAGTTCTGGAGTCATTCAGCTTAAAAAAACAACAACCAGATTCAGAAAGAACTTTGAATCTCTGTGAGATCAGCACGAAATAAAGTCAAAAAGCATAAAAAACAGAAAGAATGTCAAACAGTTTTTCAGTTTTGCAGCATCAGTTTTCAATAAAATAATGGCTAATCAAGTGAAGTGGAGTTGGCATTAAAGCAAGAAACTGAAGAATGAAGGAAAATGTTTAAATACAGTGAATAATGGCACGTTTGTATATAATAATAAGCGAGGAAGGGGCTTTTCTTTTCGAAAACACTATCCAAAACAGACTGTAGGTTTCTACCGTAAACCTGTCATCACCATCGCAGATAATGGGGATGCAATGGCTGCGGCAACAGTCCTCTGCTGTCCTTACATCACTCTGGGTTGCTGGGAAGTGCATGCTTCATCTTCTTTCTCAATTATATCTAAAGCAGCACCAGAGGCATTGTATATTATGATTGAAAAAGAGAAGCACACATAGCACCCCATCAGAATGTAATAGAACAGAAATGTAGTTGTTGGTTTGGGTGAATTTCACAGTGCAGGCACTCCAAAATGAAGAGTATACTGTGCAAATAGGAGTATGCATTAAGATAGATTGAGAATGTGTGGAAAATCAGTGCTTTGTAATAGAAAGGTTAGCTAAAAAGGTATTGTTATAAATAAACATAAAGCAATACAAACTGCAGCTACTGAAAAGCTCATTAAGTTAAATGGACACCTCTCCATATTAGATAGAAAATGAAACATTACGATCTCTTTAAACACAAGATTCACTGTGGGGCTTTTAGTCAAGAACTAATTGAAAAAATCCATCAGTCGTGTGTTTATGCATGTGTGTGTGAATGTATAAGCCTGAAGGTTAATGCCAGCAGTCATATCAGCAAGGGTTTAACATTCAGCTGATCACAACATTAACTGCTTACAATCCAAACAAACATGGGTATAATCTGAGGACTAAATGTCTTCCTGATCCATTAATGACAGCAACTGCAATCGATTGCACTGACAGTTTAAATAAGACTTTGATCCTTTTTAAAAATATATATTCTACACACGAATGCCCAATTATTTATTCATGTGAGTCTAGCCTGCCATCTGATGTGCATTCTTAATGTCAGCAACAAGCCAGCAGTCAAATTAGAAACGTTACACAAACAACAGGTGATGTATTTGGTATATTGAGAGTGATCCTGGATCTTTTCTAATGGAAAGAACTTATAGCAGGAAAAGAAAACCTGAGTTAAAAGATAACAAGATGTGAATCAAATTTTCTGAACATGTAACAGATATTTTTTTTTAAACCCATAAAAACAAAAAAATACTAGTTGCTGACCAGATGCATTTTTCTGTTGCTATACAAATATACATTAACTAGAGCAAACGCTTTTTAAAGGCTCAATACTGCAGTGACTGAGCATCAGGCTTTACGGCACTATAACTCTCTTCCTTCTGCGATTCAGTAGCAAAAGTTTATAACCAGATTGACCTATGATGTGTTTAATAAACAGCCTCTGGTTGAACAGTCAGTTAATTAGACTGTGCTGATAATCAGGGGCTTTCGACAAACAAGCACGAGTGTTATAAACTTCATCACTTTCTGTGGCATCTGGCCGGACTTGGATTAGACATCACAAATCTCACAAGCACACAGAGAGCTACCTTCCTCAATTAGAGATTATAAATAAAACATAAAGCTTTTAAAATCAGTCTCCCTGAAGGCTTTAAATCGCATTGACCACAACACTTACCTCCATGTCAGTAGGGATTTTTTTTTTTTTTTTAGTTGGAGCAGACGAGCACTTCCTCATGAAATTAACTCACCAGGCACAATGCAGGAAAAAGTGGAGTGTTTCTAAATAAAGCAGCAATCACTCTGCTCGGCCAGGGTGTTATATTGCATTTAGATGATATGGGAATAACTGTCAGAGGGAGATGATTGTTGACGGCTCAGATGTGGCAACATTCACGCATTCAACACCAAAACAAAACCATAAAATTTGACTTTTCTGAAGTATTTTTCCAACTTTTAAACACTCAAAGTGAAGATGACTTGTTTGCCTCATTAGCTCAGTGTGAGATGTGGTGACATTTGAGTTTGGTCACAGCACGGGTACAAAATGAGCAGTGCCAGTCCAAAAATGTAGATGTGGTCTGCCTGTAGTGAGGGAAAAAACCCATCTGAGTTCATTTCCCACTAACTGAGTTTGTTTTCTGTGCCCAGGGAAGTTACTCGGTTCAGCCTTTCATATGTAGCTGTCAGGCTTCTTAGAAGAACCTACTCTAAATTGTTCTGCCTAACCATGATGTGAACAACAAAAATAAATAACCTCAATATTTCTTTAGCTGTTGGTTTGCTCTACCAAGCAGGACAGCTGTTTATGATTTGATTGATTTAAGATAAGATACCTTTATTAGTCCCACAAGGGGAAATTTCATGTTAATGTTGCCGACCTATTGCACGCAATGGCGGCGCCATCTTACCCTCCGACCATACATACATTACACAAAAACATCACATGGGGAAGACAGGTCAGAGAGGTATAACAATGCAAAATGCACCACATGAGGAAAGATAAGGAGAAAAAAAAATAACTCCCCCCAGACTGAGCTTCAATAGGGAGATCAGTTTGAGAACAGAAAAAAAAACACCTCTGCACATAGCACATGAAAAAACTCTTAATACACCAAAGAAACACATGACAAGCAACAGGGGTGGGTAAAGGGTGAGAGACAGCCAATGTAGACAGTACATCCGGGCCTGCAGCATCGGAGGGGAATAAGCGTTGAAGGCGTTTGGAGGGGTGAGTGTACATCTGCATGTGTATATATATATGTCTGTGTGCGTGTGTGTGTGTGTCCAGATTTGATACAACATTTATTAAAGAAAATAAATACTGTCTTTATGAACCTTTACTTTCTTTAGATTTTGTTCATGTTATGCGATATTGTTGAAAATATGCACTTTAGATGCACCGATTAGACTCCTTTGTGCATTAGCTGTATTATGTTTAGATCTCTGTTTGAGCTTTAGGCAGGACTGTGGGGAAGCACTTTAACCTTAGCAAATGATCATAATT